CCAAGGTTGTATCCGGAAGTCGCCAGAGTAGTCACGCCAGGGTGTCGCTCGTAGTGCCTGGCGCGTGCTAGTAGGGCACGTTCCATATTCGTCGCCTCCGTGACGAACCCGTCCACAGTTGTCGGGGGATTGCGAATGAGACCTCCGAATATCTCGCTTTTCACACCCCTCATCAGGTGTCGCAGCTTCTTCTCCTCTGTAGCCTGAGGATCGGCGCGGGCGCTCAGGCGAAGAACATCCTCGACGAAGCCGGTGACGCTCTCGTTGGGGCCCTGGGTTCTGGTTCGCAGTAGGTCCTCGGCTCTCTCTCGGCGGTGGTGGTTGCTGAACGTAGCCTTGAGATCGGTCTTGAACATGTCCCACGACGTCAAAGAGGACTCATGATTCTCGTACCAGTGCTTGGCGGTACCCTCAAGCGAAAAATAGACGTTGTTCAGGCGCTGCTCGTCGGTCCAGCAATTGTGGCGGGCAACGCGTTCATACTGGTCAATCCAGTCTTCGACGTCTTCGTATTGCTCGCCGTGGAATGGAGCAGCCGTCCGCGGTACGACGGGCAGGTAAACGACGGCTGGAGCGGCCGGGGTCTCCGACTGGTTGGCCATCGTCGTCCTCCTTGTTTGCCTGGTCCTGGGTGGCAAGGGTCCTAACTCCGGGGGTAGGCCAAGGTTCCGGCGACTTAATCGGACCTCGGTCTGGTCCTCGTTGGGTTCTTGGGGGCTTGTGTTCGGACTTGCACTCCGAGAACTCGGAGGGGAGCGCTGCACGGGCATGCGGTTACCCCGCACCTCCACCAAAATGTCACGGGTGGTGACCAAAGGAACACTGAATAAACAGAAAGAAAGAAACGTTTAATGTGGCGAACTTGTGCCAAAAACTAAAAGGGTACAAAGATAATAACAGAGCGTCGCGGGCGTCGAAGTCGGCGTAGCAGCACAGTCGAACGCTGGGGCGAAACTGACTGCGGCTCGCCACGCGGAGCCCCTTATCTACATGCGTGGTCTTCTGGAATAATCGGCGAAGAAACTTCGACGCGTGGAACATTCGGGCCTGGAACAAGCAACATGATTCTCGAATTCTCCAGAACACTAAATTAGAGGAATAAACAAAAGACATGTCGCTCCAGGATTCGAACCCTAGCTTTTCGTGTGGGAGGCAGGCGCGATAACCATTAGGCCACGCGCGCGCTGCCTACTTGGCGAGCGCGCGCGGCAATATTACCTCCGTGCCTTTACCCTCTGCGCACCGCCAGAGAGAGTCATACAAACTCCTTTGCGCTATTATCAACACGATTGCGTTTGCAAGCCGGTAGTTTGACTCGGCTGGGATTCGTCCCTTCTGACTTTCATAGCTCTCTATGAAACCAGAAAGGTAGATACTTTTCTCCATTGGGTTGGTTTGCCCGGGGCCTCCAGTTATTTACGGCCAAAATCACACTAGAGGCGCTTCAGCAATGTTTACTCTGGTCGACACACGTGCTCCTTAAAGATGCCTGTCGTCAACTCTTTCCCAAAAGATACTTGAAGAGCCAATCTTAGAGGCCGACGGATAACGAGGCCTTAGACCTCAAAGAAATTATAACAGAAATTTGGCGTCGTCATTCCCAAACTGGTTGCCGGACGAAATCCAGGGTTGGTAATAGTAACATAAGATACGTACGGCAGAATTCCCTGCCATAAATAAAATGATTTGGCTAACGCCAATGTAACGCGAAATAGGTGCAAAGAGTTTTGCGATAGGAAGCGTAAACCGAAAAAAGAAAAAAAAGAAAGAAAGAAAGAAAGAAAGAAAGAAAGAAAGACTGAAGAAAAGGAGAAATTAGAAAAAAAAATCTCTGGTGACTTGGCCAAAAAAAATTCTGTTCATGTGATTTTTCTTGCCACGTGACCAAACAAGCAAAAAAAAAACGAAAAAAAAAATAACACGAGAAAAAAAACCATCCCCTGCCCGGTTTCGAAGCTAGGCCCTCTTGATCGTGAAACTAGCGCGCTATCCGTTGCGCCAACATAACTTTTTTTTATTTCTTTATTGCAGCCAACATAACTTTTTTTTTCTTTCTTTATTGCAAGTTGCGCCAACATAACTTTGCCAGTAATGCTCACGCATTCCCACATCATAGGCGAAAGCTTAGGTGCCTTCGCAGTTTTTCATGCATGTGTTATTTTTATTTGTGGCAAGGGTTCACGTCCAGAATGCTTTTAGAGTTTTCGACCAAAACGAGTTTTCTTCATCCGAGTCACCTTCTAGAACCAGTAGACCGCACTGGGTCGTCCGGCTAATCAAGCAGCTATTTTCAAATTCTCTGGCGTGCCTGTCCTCGGATCCGAGGTCGCCGCTTGACAAGCTTAACTTTCTTCCACCTGGTAGCCGGAACCACCACGGCCAGCTTTGTTCCGTCCCCACTCCCTCTCGAGAGGATGGCCTCGCCCCGAGGCATAGCCTCCTCCATACGGAGAAAGCCTGGCACATCGACGACGGAGCAATAGGGCGCGCGGCCGCAGGTAAAAGGAGAGGAGGAGCGCGCCGAACGGTGACCAATATGGTAGCGCAGAGCAGAAAGGGCAGACCTAGACAGCGAGCGCTTGGGTCATGAACGGCCGCTCCCCGAACCACGCTTGTTTTTGTGTTTTCGTCACCGTCGTTTTCGTACTCCGGGAGAAACGGGCGCGGCGATTCGAAAGGGCGCAGGGAGAAACGGGAAAGGATGGACGTTGAGTTTCTGCTCTCCACGATAGCGACAAGAAAAGAGAGAGAGAGAGAAAAAAAAAAGATTGTTTCTGCGTTTGGCCGCTCGCTCTTTTGTGGCGCTAGCAGCAAAGGTTCTCTCCGCTCCCGTTTCTCCACCCCTCCTTTCCCATTTACGGCGGCCGTCTTTTCACGCGACGCGCCAGGCTTTCTCCGTATAGAGGAGGCTATGCCCGAGGCTAATCCCATTCTCTAAACCTCCTTCCATCCAACGCTTGACCTTTCCCTCCCCGTCCCCCAGCTTCGGGAGAGAAGGTTCTTCTCTGCAGAACGTCCCGTTTGTACAGCGGCTTTAAAGTTCAGAGATTGTCCTGTCTTTATCGTCCCTTTTGTGTCTCCACTTTTTAATGTTTAAAAAGTATCAACACGCTAAAATAGGACAATTTCTGGGATTTCATTTTCATCCCCCAAGTGTGATGCGGGAACCGCGCCATAGAGCCACGGTCGTTTCCGCACTTTGTTATCGCTAGGATTTGACAGTGCTCAATCACAATGCAAGACACGCACAGAGCCACGCTCGCTTTTGCAATGCGCCGCATAAAGGAATGTCCAAACAGGACACGACTCCGACAAATCGTGAAAATTGAAGCGGGCTTGAAGCGGGCGCGTCCGCTTCAATTTTCACGATTTGTAGGAGTCGTGCGTTTTGTAGTGTCCAGTTTGGACACCCCTTAATAATGATATATCTTGTTGAGACGTGCGCACATCCGTCTTGCGCAGTGTTAGCTCAATGGCAGCACTTTCTGTAAAGGCGGATTCACACCGGGGATAGCAGTCGCGCGATCCAGCTAAATCGCATCGCAAAAAAAAAAAGAAAAAAAAAAGTAATTAGTTGGTCAATTTGGCGTGCGCGATGAGCGAGTCCAATGCCTTCGTTGGCGAGTCGCGTCTCGAAAACTCTCGCTCCGAACGCCGTTGGTTGGCTCGGCCTCTCCGCGACTAGAGTGCATCGCAAAACGTCGGGTCAGCAAGCGACTGCTCAAAACCCGTCACTTTTTGCCCGCGATGGTCGCTTTTGCGATGAAAGTTATGGCGCGACTAGATCGCATCGCCGGTGTGAACGCGCCATAATGTCGAACCAGTCTCACGGCGCGTCCCGATATTGGCTTGTGTACCTACGCGCGAGTAAAACATCTGGCACAATTTGCGTTTGCAAAGCCTGCTCCAGCCGCGTCAAAACATTCAGCCAACCTTTGGACTGCAGAAATCAAGAGACAACCAAAATAAGATAAAGTTGCCAGCCGAATAAAACTTGATTTCTATTTAATTAAGATGAAGACCACCCGCGTACATCAAATACCTCATCAGCCGAACTCCAAGGCAGTAAGCCTAGTTCTGGCACTTGTTTGGCACCTTTGGCCCGTCGCTGCCAGATCACAGCCAAACTATCGGGAAGCGAAGCCTAACTTGGGCACTCACTTGGCGACTTGGGCCCAAAGATGCCAGATCTCAACCGAACTACAAGGTAGTAAGCCTAACTCTGGCACATTTGTGGCGATTTTGGCCCGAATGTGCTAGGTGACAGCCGAACTGTCAAAAAGTGAAGCCTAACTTTGGCATTAGTTTGGCGATTTTGGCCCGAAAATGCCAAAGCTCTGCCGAACTACAAGGTAGTAAGCCTAACTCTGGCACATCTGTGGCGATTTTGGCCCGAATGTGCCTGGTGACAGCCGAACTGTCAAAAAGTGAAGCCTAACTTTGGCATTAGTTTGGCGATTTTGGCCCAAAAATGCCAAAGCTCTGCCGAACTACAAGGTAGTAAGCCTAACTCTGGCACATCTGTGGCGATTTTGGCCCGAATGTGCCAGATGATAGCCGAACTATCAAAAAGTGAAGCCTAACTTTGGCATTAGTTTGGCGATTTTGGCCCAAAAATGCCAAAGATCTGCCGAACTAACGGGCAGTAACCCTAAATTTGGCATTTGTTAGGCGATTTAGGCCCGAAGATGCCAGATAATAACCGAATTACCCGGGAGCGAAGCCTAAGTTTGGCACTTGTTTGGCGAATTAGGGCCAAGATACCCAGACTGTTCCCAAGGGAGGTCAGGTTTGGCACTACTTTGGCTTCTTCGGGCTTTTTAATGCCCTAAACTGCCAGACGCAAGCCAAGTTTTGGCCCAGAACTCGGTGCTGCCTGGGTTGTATTCGTAGCTTGGGATATTTCAGAAAAAATGAAGCTAAGATATAAAATGTACAGGTCAGGATTCCTTCAATAAAACATTAAAATTTGTTTTAATATGATTATTGTATTTCAATAGATGGACAAATTAGTGGGTGTCATTAACAGTACTTTTGGAGAGATGCTTGAAAATAATACATGGATGGATAATCCTACACGTGAGGAGGCAATGAAAAAGGTATTGACCCTTATTCATAGTGCGACCATCTACTTATTAGGTCATTCATTTCAGCTTCAAAAAATGGCAGCGAAAATTTATTACCCTCCTTGGATACTGAACGACACGTATCTTAATGGCCTTTACGAACACGTGAGTTATATTACGTCGATTACAGAATAATATTCTTTCAAAATATGGTAAGATTGGTTTACGTGTTCTAGGTATTTTCAAGTGTTCTAGTTTTCATATATACAGAGGTTGCAGAAATATGGCAATACAACCAATAGGTTACATTTTTTTATATTTTAAAAACAGCTTGTTTAAATTTATTTGCGGCTATTCCTTTAAAGTCCGTGAGACTTAGACAAGTGCCCTCTTCACATGGTATTAATGAAGCATTCATGACATTAGGTGAGGAGATAGTCGTCATGGTAATTAGGTTAATTAGAATAAAATTCGTTCATCAACCTTTTAGTTATTACTTTTTATGGTCATGTTGCAACGGCAGTTTAGGAGACGTGCGAAATTTCTCGGACGCCTCGCAACATTGAGCGCGTGCATACGGTCGGTTATCTTTGTTCAGTCGACATCGGAGAGCCGGAGAGCCGCTGAAACGTATTGATCAACTGTGTAGCCCACCGGAGGGTTGACGCAACGATGACATTTTTTAAAGTCGAACCGTAGCATGCGGCTAAACAATCTGCAAGCTTCTCATGCCCTTTCTTATGACACCCTCGCAACTTGTGCGTGTCGACAGCGACGTCGTGTGGGCAGCAGAGCATGTCGTACGTGTTGGCAATTCGGAGCGTACACGCTGCCCTCATCGGTGTCGGCAAAGGTATGTGACTCAGGGTATGTGAATACTGTTGCTTATGAACATGAACCAAAGGACTTACACTTGATAAAAACTATGCTTTAGAAACAACACGCAATCTAGAAACAGATCGCTATTATGCGTGCTCATTTAAAATCTGGAGCCTTTTACCTCTGATTGCGTCGTCACATTTGCTTCGAAGGCACGCCGACACCTTGCCACTTTATATCCCATCTCACGAAGTGTGTTCAGTGCACGCGAATGCACGTGTTAGAGTACGTCCCTTCGCAGCATGCGTTGTGTGCATGAAAACTCGGGCAGAAACGACGCTTTCAAAATCATCGCGCTCGCAGCAGCGCCGGCACTGAAGACAACTTTAACAGATTATTTTGCGCTTAGGACGTCATAGGGGCGTTTCAGTGCACTGACAAGTTGCAAAGACGCAAAACGGTAAAATAATTAGGAAGGGTATGCTCCCAACGGGCTTTCACCTTGCTGTGATTGAGGCTTGATGTACGCTAGAGCAGTGCCTTCGCGGAGTGGGTTATTAGCGCTTACACCCACCGAAGGGTAACAAAGAAGTTTACATGCAATGGAGCGCTTCACTGTCAGAAAATCGCCGCGATTTAAAGCACTCGTCCGAGTGCATCGCAATAGAGAAGGAAGTCAACGGGGTTGTGCCATCACAGTTACATCCTGCAAGGTTGCAGTCCCCGATGTGCATAAACCCTTTTCGTTGAAAGCAGCTGTGTCCTTTCCTGCAGTACATTGCATTAACGATAGATAGCATCCTTATGATCTCGCTAACTGTACACATCGCGAGGCTTAGTGCGGGCATGACATCGGCGCTTCTTGCGCAATCTTCGAACAGCAAATGTTAGAACGCAAGGTTTCAGCACCCTTTTTGGTTCCCCCAAAGAATTCTCAAATATGCGTAGCTTTTGTGATAGGATTTGAAGTGTCAAAATAAAAGTGGAGAAACCCACGATGAACATGCTAACTGCTAAATTACTCGAATGAAAATAATAAACGAATAAACGACACATTTGAGACACATACCTTGTCTCATTGCTGTCGTTTACGCCACTTTGCTTGCAGAGGGGGACAGCAATTTCATGAGTCTAGCCGGCAGAAAAAGAAGATCGCGGAGGGCACCCCAGCGCGCATTAACCCGTCCCGCGGCGTTTCTCGAACTAATCAAGATGGCGGATCTAGTTCTTCTCGCGCCTAGTAGATGACGCCGTACATTTCGTATACCTACTATTGACGGCAATTACTATTAAATACAAGACCAATGAAAAAATCCGAAGGTGGAATACTTTTCAATAAGATATTATTTGATAATTTTTACGTATTTAGCCCTAATTCAATATTGCCCGCAAAATGGGCATTATACCTGCCTACATTAAGGCTAAGTAGAGTGACGTGGTCGTTCTAGTCACGTCGACACAGGTTTCGTCGGCGCACCGACCGAAAAACGCTACCGAGATAGTGAGAACTTGACTGAAACGACTACGTCACTCTTCCAAGCGACAGTGTCCACACAGCTTGTGTTACTGTTTTTGCGGGCAATTTTTAGGTTTGGATAAAAACGTGAATATTGATAAAGTATTATCTAAAAAACCTTTGCAGTATTGCTATACTTGTCCATCACTCTGTCCTGCAATAATAATTACCGTCAATACTGCAATCCAAACATAACACCTAAAACCAATATTAAAAAATATATATATTAAAAAAATTGCCAATGAGCGTACTTATTTTGGTGATTATTTCCTCATCTAGTTTCCGTGCTGCTTGATAAAAGCTGGGCGAAGACGGCACTTGCCTAACCCTCACCCCATTTTGATACAAATATATGTTCGAGTTCAAAACGAAGCACCGTCGTCTATATACGGCTGGCCGTATATACAGGGTGTTCATCAACAACCACGAATACTTATTAAATACAGTTCAAATAAATGAGTGCTTAACTCGAGGGAAAAGTGAATTTTACGTCATTACCTTTAGATATGCTCTATCTGAGTACCGTATTTTTCGAACTTTAGTCCGCTCTCAGTGCATAGTTCGTTATTGGCAAATTCTTGTTCAAAACAAAACAAAATGCTCTTTCTTAGATTGTCCGCACCTGCTGCATAGTTCGAAATCGGTTCACTCTTCGCACCTAATGTCCAGTAAACGGGCAAAAAAAATTCATATACTGTACATTTTTACAAATGCCACCTTTAAGAGCTCACGACGAATCTGCCATCTTACACAAATCATCATTAAACTATTCTTTCATTCACAAAAACCGTCAAGCATCGTCATAAAGAACGTTCAAGAAGAAATAAATCTTGGCATAGTCCGTACCTATATGATGGTCCGCACAGCGTAACATTTCACCTTAATAAGCTATAGTCCGTCGTCTAAAGTCCAAAATACATGGTTTATGTTTTAAGGGGGAAAAAACTCGAGACATGCAAACTATGAATATGTCTTTTGCTTTGTTTTATAGGTGCCTCCTGTTTTCTTGAACGATTCGTTTCTGAATGTTCTCCGCGGCCTGATTCTAAATAGCGACATTCAACTACTTTTAAGTTTACGAAAACCATATAGGAAAGAAGATGCGTGAGTATTGTCAATTCTTGTTTTCTTTGATTTATTTTATTCATATTGGTATCACTCTTGCAGAGAGTTACAATTCTTTTATGAAACTGTCCAGGTGGTACACACGTGCGGCAGTGGCAGATGCGTTTTACTATCCAATCACTTATGACATCAGTAAGTACCCGAAAAAAAACTAATTCCAGAGCAGTAGGGATCCACTTTGAATTTTCCCTTTTCCTTCCCTAGGCTTAAAACAGTCATCACGGTACACTAGATCACGTTGTTACATGTTACATGATCGCGAAACATGTTAAGGCATCTCTCAAATTAATGTATATATTGTTTGCGCTGTGGGTTTGCCTAGAAAACCAATCGAAAGGAGACTGAAATTATGCAGGAGCAGCTTAGAGTAGCTCGATATTTTGTTTTTATTTATTTACTTGAAAATACTATCAACTCTTTCTTGAAAGACATTGCAGGGAGGGTATTCCTTACAAATATACACACATCAATGCAGAGCGCGGTTGACAACACATATTAATACGTACCCAGTACAAGTTTGTGACTCTAACAGGTTAACAGCTGAGTGATTAATGTTTAAAGGGTGGTGCCCTTTCTACATACACGATTTCGCTCGGCAGTCGGCTCCTGGCTATATTCGATGTTATAAAAAAATAGTATTGCTTGAAAATGTCGGTTCGACTGTAGGACGTTTGGATTGTTTTGGATTGGTGTAATCTGCCTGGCACTTCTTATCTGCAGGGTCAATATATGTATTTGGGGTAAAATTAAACTTGTTGTTAATAATTTAAAAAAAAATCATTTTAAGCGCTGGGCTTCCTTTCCTTGTCTGAAATGATTGTAGATTGCTCGGGTGGAGCATTTCTGTTGAAGATGTCATCCTCGTGTAGTTGGAGTGAACAAAGCCAGAACCTTGTCTTAGTACCTTTTTATCAATCCATCAATATTTTGGTTAAGGATACCAGATATCACAACTATATTTTAAGATTGGTTTTATGTATGTTTCATACGAGCCAGTTTTAACTTATCTGGTTGCATGTTTTAATTTGTCTATTAGGAAGTATAGTTTCCGATATGCCCTTAAGCAGGAGGTATCACTGTGTTCACTCCACGTCCAATCTTTTCCGAAGGTAACTCCGAGATGCTTGAAGCTTTACACTATTCTCAGTGCTTTATCACTATGATAATATTGGAATAAAAGGGAACTCTGTTTTTTAGTAATATGGGCCCATACAAACTTCACAAAACTGATTTTTATATTCCACGTGTAGCACTATTCTTGGTGGTCAAGATACCGATTTAGTTATGTTAGTTGTTACGGAGGGCTCAGTGTTGAGCAGGTAATAAAATTGTCCAAAAAACGTCTGACGTGAAAGTAACTGCATCTTAACGGGGTTCTTTCGCCATGACTGAAAATTTTTATCATCAGTATCACCATTCTTAGTCCCAGGCTTCGTGTTTCAATTTTGAAACTAAGTAAAAACTCCTTTGCGTCTTTATGTACTCCGTGTCAGCAATAGTTTTATCATTCTCATCAGTATTTTGCACTGCGCGAATCTGCCGTAGTTTAAACGCTTTTTGGTTTATGCTTGGCGAGTTTTCGTGGTCACAATTGTTGTGTAATTTCATAATTAACTAAAGATTAAATTTCAAACTAAAATAAATGTATTCAGCCAACTTAGTTTTTTTTATTCTTCTTTCAGCATTCTCTTTTGTGTTAAAATTCTTTGCTAGGTTTATTATTCTAGATATCTTCTTGTTTATAATCACTCTTTTTATTCCCGTCCTCCAGACTGCGGCAAATGCCTAATCTTTTCCCTTAGTCAAAAGTCTGAAGATCCCCAAGGTTTAGTATATTAAGATTGAATCCAGTCATTAATATTCTGATGTAGTCCAAGGGATTTTAATTTTGATAGTTTTCTCTGCATAAAAATATATACAGGTGACAAATTTTTTTTTATTAGTGTGGGTGCCATATCACGAGTGGTTTTAATCACTTGAAGGATTTTCTGACAAACTCGACCGGCAAAGCAAATTACTGGTTCTAGGTGATTGACACCAGGAGTCTCCGGGAGTCTCTTTGGTTGATTCACTGCCCGGGACTACAGTTAAACGTTTCTTGATCAGCGCGTTTTCGATGTTCAAGAAGTGATAAACGTTACACTTAATCGATTAGATTCATTTTATTATTAAAATATTTCTATTATAAGGGATCTTAACCTCTTGTTCATACAATGTATCCAATTAGGTTACATGGTCACTTGTGACTAAGAAGAAAGAGTAAGCTAAGCCCCGAGAGGCCGTTCAAATACCGGAAATATTTTGCAAAAACAAAAGGGGGATTCTTTTCACAATAGGCACCTGAGAGAATGCAGTTCCCTTAAACACTATCCATTGATAAACGCAATTAACTTTGGCTCTGTAAGTTGTAATGTATATTTATTATGTTATTTTTGCTCAATAAACAAAAAAGTGTAATTTAATTAAGAAAATATCCACTCCAACAATAATTTGTAATACTGGAGACTGCCGCTTTCCTTTCAAATGTTAAATGCAAGTTTTGCGCTGAACCATTATTTGTAATTCGTTTACATTTAACCTTCAAATGTTCATTTCACTTTTGCTTCAAACGTTTTCAAATAAAAAGAGGTAATAAATTATGTTCTAAATTTTCTTATGTGTTGTTTTATATTAATAACAGTATATTGGAACAAAAAAAAAACAAAAAAAACAAAGAGCAAAATATTTTTGAACGACACTAAAATTTAATCGAAATATTTATTATTCTTTTGTTCCGGAGTCACACCAAAAATTTCTAAGCGTTTTCTTTGGTTTAAGGAATATGTATTTAAATGTAAACATTTCGGCGGAACTCCATCTTGTTAGGTAAGTAATAGGAAAAAGTACTACGTAGACTCTAACCTGTTTCTTCAATGTTTTCGACGTTTCGAAGCCAGCTCGGCACCTTGTTCACGGGTGACTGGATATTGGCCCAAAGGGTTGCTACCTTTGAGTAGCAACACAGAAACAGAAGAAGAAAACAAAGCTAAGAGGCAGGAGAAGAAAACGACGACAGGTTGCTACCTTTGGGCCCATATACAGTCACTCGTGAACAAGGAGCCGAGCTGGCTTCGAAACTTCGGGCACATTTAAGAAATTGGTTAGAGTCTACGTAGTACTTTATCCTAAGGAATAGGTAAGGTACTTCGGTATTCGCTCCACCCAGCGAGAAAGGTGACAGTCCTCGTTGGGTGACAGCCGCCAGAGGCACCAGAATAGCTCTCTGTGTTTTATTTTTTTCCTTAATCAGTAAAAAACAAAACAAAAAAACTAATAGGCTCTCGAAGCCTTTATCAAGGAAAACAAGAATGAGGGTGGCCCTCAGCCTCATTCGACAAGTGAGGTAGGCGACTGGACATGGCATGCTTGCTGGAAGTGCTGGATAAGGTGCGACGACTTCGGAGGAGCCCGAATGTATTGAAATTTGGGGAAGAACAAATGAAACGCCAACCGTAACAGTAAACTTGAGTGCATGTAGTCCTTGAGTACCAGCCACACAGGTCAGTGTGGAGCAGGCGTTCTCGGCGCTGAAATTTACTTCATCTGAACGTAGGTATCCCATTTCACCAAGTACACTTAATGACGTGCTTTCTCTGAGATCATCCTCGGCTCCTTGAGTCATTCTTCCTCGCGGTGTTTTTCACCCGTATTCTTCAATTTAACATTTTGTAATAACAGAGCACTTGCTAAAGCTACCTAGCGACCTACGTTTACATAGAAATACGCGCTTATTTTTGTTCTAAAAATTTTAAGAGTGATTTCCTTTTTTTTCTTTTACTGCACGTGAGCACGAACCGTTATGGGCCAATATTTCTTCGTTCGGGGCTCAACCTGAAAGGAACGTTTTTTTATGAAACAAGACTGAAACCAGAACAACAAGAAAACATTCATGGCGGAGAGTTCTAGACACCTCGTAATTCATGTACTAATTGCATAAACTTTCTTAATACCTTTGATGACTATCTCCTAAATTAACTACAGATCCTTTTGCATTAATTTCCTAAATTCGCTACAGATCAATTGCATTCATACTTTCGAAATATGGTTTTACTTTAGTATTTGTGAGAATTTTAACGAACACTATTTGCTCAGTGCTTCATTGGTTGCTATTGTTCAATACTGAGGTCAAACATTCCCCCTATATTTCAGCCTTCATTGGTGGAATACTGATGCCGCCATTTGTTCAAGACGATGTGCCTTCGTAAGTGGCTTTCAATTTCAATTGAGCGTGTTCTCAAAGTGATTTCCTATAATACGAGAATGCGTTGGCCACGGCATTAGCAATGTAGTAAATGTCATTTACAATTGAAAGATAACTATTTGGGATTGGCAAAATAAATATTGTGTTTGACACGTTTAGGGGAGGTGACACTATTTTGCTTGTACTTTCCTCACTACTTGATTGCCTTATGCGCACTGCAGTGCAATGAGTACCGAATACACAGAACACCGCAGACAATAGCAGAAATTTAAAAAAATCAAGGATGCATGGAAACAATTTGAGCGTACATTAAGGAGTATCCAAAATTAGTATGAAAACAAACTATATCTTCTTTCATTCATGCTTTATTTTTCATCCTATGTCCCTCGAAGCTCATTACACCTGGCCCAATATTTCACCCGTTTCTCCATTCTCTCTGAGAAATGACTTTCTTCTAGGTCACCAAAATACAGTTGACAGCCTCGATGGCCTCTTTTATTCGGCCAATATTTTTCTCCAGCCAGAAATGTTATGGAGTCTCAGGCCAGGTGGAAGTACGAGGAAGCCAATTCAAGCGATTATGGTGTAACCGAATGATTTTGAACTTCAGTTCTGCACATCTTTGCCCATCCAGCGAAAATGTTAAATGCAGCTATTTTGCTCCGGATTGAGGAGATACGACACCAACATTGCATAAAGGACTTTTGTCTGAATATGTAAACTATAAATAGGGTTCTGTGTGTTCGGTATTTAATTTTCTTCAAATTCGGGGGTCATTTATCGGTGTTTATATTAAAACTTTGTGGCTGTTCACCCCGCGTACGAGTAAAGTACTGTACAAAACAGCCGAGAAAGATAACTAAAATATTTTAATTAATCAGAAGAGTCTGAACCTGAAACTGGCGCTGATTAGCTATCTAGCTCGTGGATGTGGTCGTTCCTTCTTTGCTCGGGCACATCGTTTTTCTCGTGCCCGAGTTCCTTCTTCTTTTCCAACTTATGGCCTCTCGGTTTTCCCGGTGTTCATACACTTCAGATCAACACCTCTGGTAAAAACCTCTGGCGGTCCCGCCGGGAACGCAACGCTATTTTATATTTCCTTTGAGTCGGTGTCTTTTGGTGTCTAATTTCAATGTCGGAGAAAAATAGGTGTTTATCGGCCTTGTGTTGTGAAGCGACTGTCTAATTACTGAAGGAAATAACACAATCTATAAATCATAAATTAAAATATTTTCTTCAGTAGCGCTTTTAATGATAAGAGAAGAGAATGGGGAAAGAAATGAGGTTTAATTGTGCAGTGCGGCTTTGTCCCGGGTCAATAAGAAAAAAAAAAATGAAGGTAAAGTTTTCCCCGAAAAGCAGGTTTCTTTTTTTTTTTGTTTTTTTTCCCCTTCAAGGATCGTTCATTATTGCGTTTTTTTTTTTTTGTTTTTTTTTAGGTTTTCACCGATTCGGCGAAAACCGCCTCCGGGGGTAAATTTTCGTATTTATCGGTGTACGCCGAAAACACGGAAGCTTAAATAAAAACTACTCGGTTACAAACGCTCCCCCACAGGTTCCATAAATTTACGCACTTATATTCGGCGAGTTCCTAAAACATGTTATGAATTTTGTTTGCAATTTCTTTGCGTGGTAGCCGTTTTTTAAAGTCCTGAACGTGGTTCGTCACTTGTGTGCCTTTGCTCATTCTTAAATTGAGAAACCAAAAACTCATGTTGGAAAATGGGCACAAGTTCAAAAGAGCGTAATCTAACCTGGATATCACTTCCTTTCACAATATTTCTTTCAAATACAAAAATATTATTCGAAATTTCCTTTAGTCAGTACGCAAAATCCACAAACGTTGTCAACATAATGATATTACAATATCTGGAGAAAGGACCACTCTACTAGAGGCGGTTAGAAAAAAACATTTGAATTTAGTCTGAAATAAGAAAATTTCCTGTTCAAGTTCTCAAGTTTCTAAAAATCAGCTAGCCGTGTTTGCATGGATAACTGAATTGCTTGAAAGATACGTCCACTGATTATTCCTGATAGCAATATAGTGTAGATCATAGAGCACTGAATGAGCAGAGAGGTGAAGTGTGTTTTAAAGAGTGAAATATTTAACCGAACCTCCAATCTCAAAATTTTTCTTGTGTCACTCCGTCCATCAGTGAATTTCCCGCTAAATTTAACGGGGAAGCTAAATTGGAGCTTAAGTCACGTGACGTCCATTTACGTCACGTGACCTCATGTCACGTGGTCTGTTCACCAATCGAGTTTCTCGGTCAGTGTCGGCGGGGATATTGATGTCACGTGACCTCACGTCACGTGACGTATACACCAATTATCTTTCCCCTCTGAATTGAGGGGACAATCGATTTCGACCTGATGTCACGCTATCCATACACCGATTCAGTTTTCCCGCAAAAGTTTGCGGGATGATTCACGTAATGTACACCAATTCAGTTCTCCCTCTAAATTTGGCTGGGAAATTGATGTCACTTGACCTAAATACCGACAGTGTCTCCGCTAAATCTAGCAAGCAACTTGACGTTACGTGGCGTGACGGCACTTGACACATCAATACAATTTTCTAACTAAATTTAGCAGAGAAATTCACGGCACATGGCCTTCACACCAATTTGGTTTTCTCTCTAAATTTAGCGGGCAAATTGACACCGTGTGGCATAAACACCCAATCCGCCCCCTCCAAAGTACGCGAGATATTGATAAAAACAAAGGTTCTTCGCGCCTCGAAACTGCGGTTTAATGTCTGCTAAATGGTTGTGAACGATCGCATCTTAAGTTGTGCATTTGACGCATAATTTTGTGGGGAACGAATATAAGGTGAGGAATGTGGTAGCCCTCAGTGACTTCTGTTGCATAAAAATTAAGAATGCTAGCACGACTCGACAAATATAGCCCCAATTAAAATATATTCTCTAGAACGCATCCGTAAGAATATACTTTCATTGAGGTACTTGCTCAGGACTTGTCAGGTGTTTTCCCGACGCTTTATTTATTTGAATTACGAACCATTCACCTACGATGGGTGTCGAGGTCCCTCAAGGATCAGTAGCACGTGCAGGCTCCCTGTCAGTTTTTGTAATAAAGACGGGGTTGAGGAAGACACTAGATCAGATTCGTGCCTTACTTTTAGGTTACTGCAAATTATATTTTGCCGTGGCGATTTGTTTCCCCGATTTTTACGTGATATCGTAATCCGGTAATGGCTAGCTTGAATGCAGGAGTTCGCCAAACTTTTATGGAAGTCCGAAGGCAGTGAGTTGATAGTTTTCTGTCACCCTTTAATTGGGCGCCATTTCGCATTCAGTTGAATATCAGCCTTCATAATCTTGATATTTTTCTTTGCTTCTCGTCAGCATATCTCCCTATGGCATACATTTTACGAATTTTACTTGGGCTAGTCAATATCATCCTTTATCTAGTCCAGGGGCTGACAAACGGCGGCTCGCGAGCCGCATACGGCTCGACGCGGGTCCATTTGCGGCTCCCGGTTCCCTGGTGTTGCGAGGGCCTTCGCTGGGGGCTTTAAACTCAAAAAGAACGCCATCCTGAAGCCACGAGACCATTTGGAATCGCGGGCCCTCGCAAGGAAAAACACTGGCGTACGTGTGCGTGCCTGTGTGTGTGCGGGTCTGTCGGTGTTGGGTTTCAGCAAGGACGTTGACTCGTTACATCAGCCACTGGAGCGCGGCAAGAACGTCGAGGGATTACATCATCTGCCCCTTGCTGAAAGAACACGGGGAAATTGCATCGGCCGCACCCGCACTTCGGACACCTCGTGAACACGCGAACACCGGGGAAGGCTCCTCTCTCTCAGAGGGCCTTCTCACCCTCGGAGGGCTATATAACTTGGGCTCAGAGACCCCGAAGTCGCCGACTGCCAACTGCTGACTGCCGATAGCCGATTAACCAGTCGACCATGCCACTTGTATATTCACTGTATATAAAAGATATACTTCAGTACTCCCACTCCAGGCCTGTTTCCTAGGGGCCATGCTAGCAGCGAGCCACAGCCCCGACGCTTGGTTCCGCCCCTGAGGCCGTTACCCTCCCCAACGCAACTCTGGTAAACGGGGCCACCTTCCCTTCCCGTGACCCCAAGACGAACGAGTTCTGGAATTTAAAAAAGCTCAGTCTTGCAAGCTTTATACTACCCTAAGAACTTACAGGTGGACTGCTTTGTGACGCAGGGATGTGTCCAGTGACCGTCCTTCTTTTAATGCTGTAGAAATAATTTATAACTTTATATGCATAACGGGCATCAGGGACAGTGGCTGGCTAGCGAACCATGCATTCATTTTAGAGCGCAGCTCTAGGCGCCCGTTTCCGGCTTGAGCGGCGTCGGCGTCGCCGTCGCCGTCGCCGTCGGCGTAACCGCGCGGTGCATTATGGGTAAATTTCCCCGCTAAATTTAGCGGAAAAATTTCTCCGCTAAATCTAGTGGGAAAATTTCCCCGCTAAATCTAGCGGAAAAAATTCCCCGCTAAATCTAGCGGAAAAGTTTCCCCACTACATCTCGCGGAATAATTTCCCCGCTAAATCTAGCGGAAAAACTTCCTCGCTAAATCTAGCGGAATAATTTCCCCGCTAAATCTAGCGGAAACATTTACCCGCTAAATCCAGCGGAAAAATTTCCCCGCTAAATCTAGCGAAAACATTTCCCCGCTAAATCTAGCGAAAAAATTTTCTAGCGGAAAAATTTCCCCGCTAAATCTAGCGGAAAAAATGAAAGCAGTTTACAAATCCCTGTAACGCCGAATTGGAGCGCAGCTCTTGGGGAGGAGTAGGGAAGGGTACTGAGGGGGGTCACGTCACCTGCGGGTAGTCACGTGACCCCCGGCGGGGTCACGTGATCTAGGGGGAGGGGGGTCAAATAACCTTGAGGGGTCACGTGACCTCGGGGGTCACGTGACTTCGGGAGGGGGGGGTCACGTGCCCTCGGGGGGGGGGAGTCACGGGACCTCAGGTGTGGTCACGTAACCTCAGGT